GTACCTAATTTTACCACAAAAACTGCATTAAAAATGTCCTGGAAAACTCGCCATATACACAAGTATACACAGCTTGTCATAATATTTTTTTCACACTTTGGATGATTATCGGCAGCCTGACATGCTCACCATCAGTACTTGAGTGCAGGCTGCTAATGCCTAATGTGTTCCCCTGCTAGTCCTCCGCTGTCAGTGGCTAATCCCTCAGAAATGGACAGCCTGTTCCTTCTTCCCAGTCTGCCCGGGAACCTCTCCCTCATGGTGACCCGGCTGGTATTTAATAAAACACCAACGCCCTTGCTTCCAGCCACAGGCAAGCCACCACAGTACAGCAAACCGACAGACAAGGGACGGGTGACTCATCAGCGACCCTATCGGTGTATGAGTAAAACTGCTCCTTACTGTTTCAGGGGGACAGATCCGTCCTGCAATAAGAACGAACCAAACTCACCGCCACAGTCAGGTGTGACTCAGGGCCACCCTGTCAGCAGGGTGGCACAGCCCCTGTGGGTTCTGAGACGAACTTGCTACAGGAGGAGAAAGCCGTCTTTCTTCCATAGAGCCCCTGTAACTTCGAACTGCTGACTCCCAACACATAACCACTGTGCTACTTCTACTGAGGACATCCAAGGACACTCCTACAGCTCTTGGGCATCTCCCCCTCTCGTTTCCCACTCTGTCTTGTCATCAGAGAAATCTTCCCTAAACTGTGAGCTTCAGGACTGACCAAAGCCACCAAGACAGCAGTGTAACCTGTTATTAAATGCCAGCGCACCTTCGGCCACCGAATAGCACATGAGGAAGTCGGCGCCAGCAGGCAGCGTGTACACGGACGCCGCATCCACCTCGGTCACGTTGGTGTCCGGCTTGACTTTCTGATGATCCACTTCATCTAGCGGGCTGACTGGCACATCATGCTGGTTTCCTCGACATGCCTACAAGACAGGGGACAAAATCACCTCCTGTACCACGCTTAACACTTACAGCGAATGAGCAATGGCGATGCCGAGAGGGCCCTCCAGGCACCATACAGTCAAGGTTGGCGGTGGCTGTGAGTTCTGTGGTGTCCTCTCCAGCTGGCAGGGATCACACGCGTGGCAGAGTACTTCACATCAGTTGCCGTGGCCAAGACCCCTGTGGAGTGCTCCCCAGCCCAGAGGGCTCTGCTGCCAGCACTGTGTCTGGCAATGCTGGCTAGTTTTTGGAAGATTGCCAGGTCTGTCTTCCTGGTCTTAGTTGAGATGTGCCACTGAGACATATCCACCACAGGATGGCCCTATCCACCAAGATGCTGGTATTTGAAATACCGGTGGCATAGCTTCCACCATCGTAGCAACATGCAAATCACTATACTTCAACAAACAGGGCGATGGACAGTTAAGGTTAAAAAACTAAAACTCACTGCTGAGTCATTTCTAACTCATAGCAACCCTACAGGTCAGGGCAGAACAGTCCCTGTGAGTTTCTGAAACAGTTAACTCTTTACAGGCGTAGAAAGCCTTGAATTTGTCCCGTGGAGCGCTGGTGGTTTCAAACTGCAGGCCTTGCAGTTAGCAGTCCCACACATAGCCACTATGCACCAGAGGGAACTAACGAGCTCAGTGGTGTTTTAGTGGTAGAATTCTCACCCTCCACGCAGGGGACGGACCAGAGTCCCAGCCAGTGCACTTCTTGTGTAGTGACTGCCTTGTCTGTGAAGACTTGGTGTGTGCTATGATGCTCAGTAGGTCCCAGCTAAGA